AGTCCTAACTGACATGTAAGCATACAAGAAGATCCTGCTGGAAGACACCAGACATACCCAGCCTCTTAAAAATAAATGGACATTAGAAAATGCCTCAGAGCGTAAAGAAATTAAGAGATATATTCATACTATAAAACCTTACTGATGAACATAAAGTGAGAGCTGTCAACACCATACTGAAAAACACTTGCTCTAATGGCAAGAGAGCAACGAGTTCTTACAGCAATGATTCTTAATAGCATACTGTCCATTACCATCACAAAGTAATACCTTGTTATTTGATTTGTACATAGATGTTGGTTGATTAGACCATACTGAGCCTTACAAAAATATAACACTGGCATGCTCAGAAGTCAAAGCCCATTTGCTGGGTACACCTTCCACATATTCTCAAAGTTATAAGCAAATCTGAGTCTAGGAGTGGTATGATTTCTAATTTCTTTGTTTACTTACCTATGAGTGCATTGGAATGGAGATTACTAGAAGCAAACAGAGTTGAAGAAATTAAGTTTTTACATATTTCTGAAGGAAGTAGTTAATATTCATTTTTAGTCTATATGGAAGAAAGTTCATCTTGCTGATAGACTCTGTAATACTTTAATTATCTTAAAATATGGTTCTTTTTGAAGAATCTAAGCTGAAGTTTTGAAGAGCATCAGGATAGACATCTACAAGCAATGGAGTTCCACAAAAAGAAAGTGAAATTATAATATTGTACAGTAAAAAAAAAAAAAAAAGATGTTCACTCCTCTGCTGTTGGAAATAAGTTTAGTGTTTTAAATGTCACCTCAAGACAGGCTCAGAATGCAGTAATAGGAATTGTATGTAAAAAAATATCACTAATTTTCATTGTCAAGTGGACAATTATAGTCACACCTGGGACAGGCCTTCCTGGCAACATCACAGCAGGAGAAAATGCTCACACAACGTTAGGAAGCTATGAACAGAATGAACTCATGATTCCACCGAGATTATAACCACAGCATTTAATAAACAAGCATAAGTGAAAAGAGAATTGTTAAATCAATGAAGAAGTAAACGTATAGGGAAAGATAATAAAGACACTGAAAACAAGACCTGCAAGTCACACAGAAAATACTGCATCAAAGTCTATTAAAAGTCTTTCCTTTTTTAAAATGTAGTTTATTATTAATTGAAAAAATCTTTTTAAAATCTGGGAAACTACAGTATTTTGTCTCTACCAAAACAATCTCAGCCTTAATTAGATAAAAAAATCTTCTGTCTCCTGGAAAAAAAAATAATTCAAATGCAGGGAATAAAACATAATCAATAAACCAAAAAAGGTTACTTAATACATATGCTAAAAAATAAACCTCCTTATTTTTATCCTGACACTCTTTATGATTTGGATAGGAGTTTAATGATCAAAAACATTTTTGTAAGACTCTAAAGGACACTAAAATTCAGAAGTTTAGCAATCTTCATTAGACATAAAATCCTTACCTGCTTGTGCTAGTTTCCATGCAAAGTCTTCTTTGTCAAACATCAAACACTGTACTAGAAAATATTTTAGACTTTCCATTTGTCTTTATGCCAAAGAGGTGCTACAAAATGCCAATGTGTACCAGCCTTGATTCATACAAAACTGATGTTAAGATCCCACTTCTGTACTTTAGAGCCCTCAGATTGACAGAAATTGTTGTGATATGACCTCAGAAAATCAAGGTGATCTGAATATGGTAACAGATGATATAGTCTCATACCACTCTGATATTTCCAGTCCAAGCATCGATTTCCATTGAAGGAACACTTCCACAGTCTTAGCTACACAACCTTGTTACCACGTTGTGACAATAAAATCACATAATATGCTGAGTTGGAAGGGACCCACAAGGATCAAGTCCAACTCCTAGCCTTTGCACAGGACCATCCCCAGAAATCAAACCATGTGCCTGAGAGCATTGCTTCTTGAACTCTGTCAGGCTTGATGCTGTGACCGCTTACCTGGGGAGGTTCTTCCAGTGCCCAGCTATCCTCTGGGTGAAGAATGTTTTCCTAATATCCAACCTAAACCTCCCCTGACTCAACTTCAGGCCATTCGCTTGGATCCTGTTACTGATCACCACAGAGAAGATTTCAGTGTGTGCCTCTTCTATTCCCCTCACAAGGAAACTGTAGACTACAATGAGGTCTCCCCTCAGACTCCTCCAGGCTGAACAGGCCAAGTGATCTCAGCCACTCTTCATACAGCTTCCCCTCAAGGCCCTTCACCATCTTCGTTGCCCTGCTCTGGACACTCTCTAAGATCCTAATGTCTTTCTTATATTGCAGTGCCCAAAACTGCACACAATATTCAAGGTGAGGCCGCCCCAGTGCAGAGCAGAGCAGAGCAGGACAATGCCCTCCTTCGACCAGCTGGCGATGCTTTGCCCGATGCCCCCCCCGACCCAGTTGGCCCTCCTGGTTTCCAGGGCACTGCTGACTCATGTTCAACTTGACATTGACCAGGACCCCCAGGTCCCTTTCTGTGACACTGCTTTCCAGTATCTCATTCTCTGGTCTGTATGAAAATCCAGTAGTGCTCCTGGGAGCACATGACTAACTGGAACAAGGAACCAGTTCATGTTTTTAGGACATCCATCGATCAAGGAAAACCTCTTTTTCCCTTGTAAATTTTCAGGCAACTCCATCCTTTACAAGCAATAACCCCAAAACAGGGAGGAACTAAGAACTCAGAATCTGAGGCAGGCATGGACTCAAGTGATTTAAAGTAATTGTGATAGAATCATATTTTTGGTTGGATCTCTAGTACTCCTTTCCTGTTGAAAAAGCTCTTCTCCAAGGCTTACAATAGAGGAACTAGAGCTAATCTCTAGTTGAGATCTCTAGCTGATCTCTAGAGGTGGTAGGCACCACCTCTCTCTCATTTCTTGGTTTCACATTAAGTCTTTTCCCTGTTTCTTTCATCCTTTTTATTAGAAGAAAGACAAACTGCAGCTTCTGTTTTTCCACAACTGCTGTTAGTCCCAGCTCATTAGATGATGATATGCCTTCATACTGACTTTGCATTTGCTGGACCGGCATTACACGGCACAGTTCGTGTAACAGTTAGAGTGCTATTTTACATTTCCCAAATAGGACACTAAACCCCTCATGTTCTTTAAACTGGGGATCTGACAAAGTGCAGGCACTCACATTTATCAACACAGCTGACTTTAGAAATTCCTGAGCTGCAGCACTCTGGAGGCTGGGAAGGTGAACCAGGGAAGGATTACCATGTGTTTGCCTTACTTTTCAATTCTTGCCTGGTCCATTGGGTTGGATACTTGGTACACTCTCACAGCATTTATGTTCTCAGGTTGAACAGCACCCCATAAAACCTGCTAACTCCCAGGAATCTGAAGGAATCATCAGCATTAAGTGCCTACAGCATGCACATTTCTCCTGTGGAGTCTAACCCAGACCACAGCACAGATTAAAAATGCTGACTACATGGCACTGAAGCAATTTTAAAAGAAGATATAGTACCCATCTTTTTGTTATTAAGAGGATGGTGTTTCTCTACCTGTAGACAGATGTGCCTGTGAAAGAGCTAGCAAAAGCAAACCTACCTTGAGAGCGTGCTTAAAATCACGAGGCAGGACTCTGTTTCACTGGAAATTTTAAAAGAAAAATCTGAGGGAAACAGGTTGAAAAGGCTTAAAAGCCTTTGGCTGTGTGGATAGGGTCCTGAGAAGCAGATGTACCCTTTCTCTGCCTGGATCCATGCTCTGCCTAGGCAGACAAGTGGCTTACCCGCCAGATCCACACTGAAGTAGAAGATATCTCTACTGTTTCTGTTGATGCAGTGCCACCATGTACCAAATACTGTAAAATTAACAGAGAAAGATTGCCTTGTCAGGGACAAGGGCTTGATCTGAGTGAGCCGTGGGTCTTGGATCTGTGCCTTGACTTGTGGGCTCTTTGTCAGGGACTGTTCAGTACAAAATTTACAGTACACGCAGGCAGCCTGCTGTCACACCTGATAGCTCCTTCCCTGCTGCGCCAAGCAAGAGAAAGAGGTCTCCACCACAGACTTCTACAGATTAACTAAATTCATCTCAGTTATTTTTCAGTACTTCGGTCAATCCGGGCGGGAGGGGCATATGCCCCCTCCTGCCAGGCAGGATGACTACAGGCTCTGCGCCAATGATGCCCATGTCCCGCAGGCTCCAGGACGGCAGATGAAGAGAGGGACAGGAGAGGAGAGGCACAGGAAAGGCAGCAGGAGAAGGGAGAGCTGCGCCCCGTCCCCGTTCTAAAGCACCGAGAGGAGCTGGCAGGAGGAGCGGGCCGGGGGTGTTCCCACTGCAGGGGGGTCCCCGAGGCAGGAGGGTTCACGAGGTAGGGAGGGTTCCCGAGACAGGAGGTTTCCCGGGGCAGGGAGGGTTCCCGGGGCAGGGAGGGTTCCCGGGGCAGAAGGTGTTCCCGGGGCAGGGAGGGTTCCCGGGGCAGGGGGTTCCCACGGCAGGGAGGGTTCCCGGGGCAGGGCCGGGCAGGGCGGCCAGCGCGGTGCTCGCACCCCCGTGCCGGCCGGGCCGGCGGGGCCCGGAAGGCGCCGCGCTCCCTGCCGGCCGCTGAGTGGCGGCGGAGCGTCACGTGCGCCTGGCCGGGCCGGGCCGGGCCGTGCCGGGCGGGCGGGAGGCGGCGGCGGGTGCGGTGTCCCGGGGCGGCGGTGCGACATGTCCCACCAGACCGGCATCCAAGGTACCCGCGCGGCTCTCTCCGCTGCCTCCACTCCGCGCTGCCCGCTGCTCCTCATGACAGCCGGCCCCCGTCTCCCCTGTCCCCCGCCAGCCAGGCGGGAGGCGGGCGGAGCGCTCTTCCCCGCGGGTCGGGGCGCGGCGGGCGGTTAACGGGCCGTTCCCGGTGCGGTTTTTCCCACCGCTGCGTCCTTTGTTTGCTGCCAGAGGAGCCCGTCCTTTGCGCCGCGGGATGGAGGGGGGGAGGGGGCGAGCGGACGGGGGGAACTGCTGCTGGTTTCGGCCCCGGCGGCCGCCACCCCTCAGGGTCGAGCCCAGAGCTCCGTCCCCAGTCAGGCGGAGCCCGCAGGGTTTATCCACACGGCGAACTGCCCCTGTCCTTCCCCTTGGAAAGTGTTCCCTGCAGAGCCCCGTGAATGGCGGGGAGGGCCACCCTAGCCTCAGGTAACTTCCCACCGTGCAGGTTTTCCTGCTGCGGCGGGGTGAGCGTCGAGCTGGGGGCTGCCGCCTGCTCGGGGTCGCCGCCGCGGGTTTGGGATGGGTTGGACAGCACGGGCAATGCCGGGGGTCGCTGCCGGCTCCCTCCGGGAGCCTCGAGGAGAAGCAGGAACCCTGGAGCAGGAGAGTCTACTAAAAAGCCCATCTCTGGAGGCCACAAAGGGAAAAAGTACGTGGCAACCTTTTCTCCCCGTGTTTCCAGGCCTTGGAGTAAGCGAAGAGCAATTAGAAGAAGACAGCGTATTGTTTCACAGTATTAGCAGGTCCCCCGAATCACAGAATTGCTAAGCAGGGATTATACTGCAGGATTATGGAGGGGTCGGGTTTTACTGTCTCGATTTCTGCAATCTGTGTATTCAGTGACTAGTACCATGTACTTTGCCTGCTCTCCCATATTTATTGTTGAAGGTGACTTTTGTCCCAGCCACGACAGCTCTTAGATGTTCTTCTATGCCCTTTTTTGTCCATTGGCTGTTATGTAGTCTGCACCCTTTGCTTCTCTTCTTTTCCTTCCACTGCATGCCAAGACCTCTTTGGTCTTTTTTTGCACCTTCTTGTTTTGAGTTTTTCAACCCTTCTCAGGCTAGAGGTGCATCTGGAATAGGTTGGTTTTTTCCCAGTCTGGAGATAAGGGTTAGTTAGTGGCTCTTCATTCACTTGTTCTGGAGACACTGGAGGGAGGAGCAGAAGAATATTCTGTTGCTTATCATGAGCAAATAGAGGGTTAAACCTCGTCTACTGCTCCGCTTCGTGTCTTTGAGAATCATTTGTCCTCTGAGGAGAGTTGTAGAGAACTCTGCAGCTTTCCTGCATGGATCCTGCCTCAGCAGGCACTAATCAGGAGTCCTGTTTGCAGAAAAGCATCAGCTTCTGCAATTTGGAAGAGGAATAGCTCTGTTTGTGCCGTTGCTGGCTTTAGCTACAAACAGGCTACTGTCACTCATAAACAATTACAAGATTTGGCAGCAAGGGCTGCTCTTTTCTGGAAGCAGAAATGAAGTCATGGGCACAGTGATATGTACCAGGCAGTTGCTGAAAGAACTGGACTTTCAAACAGGCCAGTAGAGATAAATGGTGTAGGAAGTTGCAGAATGCATTAAGCTGTGGGAAATTAACAACAGAATATGTTCACAATCTTCTAAATAATTTTAAAGTAATATTGCCTGTAAAATATTTGTGAAATAAATCCAGAATTTGATTCTTTAGGCTTCTGTTATGCAAAAAGTTTAAGTAGAAAATAATATTCTGTTATGAATTTAAAAACCTTTATGAGGAAAAAGCCATAGATAACTTGATAGTAAGATGGTTTCACAGGTGTCTCAAAATGATTTTTTTCAGGAGCTGTCAGAGTTCTGAAATTGGTGTAGGGACTGCTGTATTTTGGTCTTGTTTTGGTGTGCAGAGTTGAAATGAGAGAATAAGGAACAAAAAGATAATAGACAAAAAGAGGACAAACGAAGTCCTGGGGGAACCAAAAGGTCTAGAAAGTGGTGCAAGGTTTGCTTGCTCAATGGAATGGTGAGGACCAGCAGAGATGATTAGAAAAGCTAGGAGCAAATTACTGGGAGGGTCTGCACTGGTTAGTGCACTGGTTAGTGGGAAGATACTAACTGCGATGAAACTGGGGTTGAACTGGTAACCTGATGCAGTTCAGTTTGCTTAACATCATATATCCATGCCATTTTGGACTCTCAGAATGGGCCTGGCATCACTGGGATGGACATAAATGTAAAATATTTTGAGTATGGGCTCTAATGTTGCTGGCTACCATCTGTTCAACCTGACTATAAATAATCAATTTCATTTGTTTCCTGGTTTGTTGTTTGTTTTGCTGGTACAATGCTCTATGCAGTGGGATTACTTAAAGGACCTTCTTGCAATAAATGTTCTTCAATAAATCCTACCCATGGTATAATTAAACTGATTTGCACTCAGGTTATTTAGCAGAGCAGTTGAGATAAGAATGATCTTCACGCAACTCAAGCACAGTTCTTCAGTGTGCTTAGGAAACTGCATCTGTTATGTTTATGATGTTTTGTCTATGTGATTTATAGACATTCAAAAATATTTTAGTTACTCCTTTGTAAATTCATTATAAACCTATCCTGTTGCAACAGGTTGGAGCTTGAACAATGTCATCAAGCTTAGAAGGAAAAAAAGATGATATGAAAGATGAGCAATGAGTGGAAGCTTTCACTGGTACTCTTTGGAAAGGTGTCCTCAGGAAAGACTGTCACTTCTGCCAGACAAACCCTAACGTTTTCCTGGCAGGCATAAAGTTTCTGTCTGAAAGTTTGTACTAAGCCTCCAGACTTCATGAAGCTATTGTAATTTGAGATGCATCACATTTTTATTGTGTTGCTGTGTCAACTCTGAAACCTGAGATTGATGGTATGCCACCTTTAATTTTCACAGTGTTGAGAATCATATGGTATGCTGGAAAGCAGAGGTGTTTTGTAATGTTGCCTCACATCTTTCTGTGGCATGCTGGTGTCTGGAGCAGTATGCAGAATAGGAGGAGCATCACTCCTGTGTTCCTTTTTCAGTCCAACTTTCTAGCAAAGGGCCAGTTGTACGTTTTTTTTCCAGTGTTGTTCTTACCCTCATGAATGTTCTTTGTCCTAGGGAAGTGAAATGTGTTAATTTGATTACTTTTATTTTCTCTTTTTCAGCTAGTGGAAGTGTTAAAGACATCTTTGTTGGTGCAAGAAATGGACAATATAGGCTTTTAAAAATAGTCATTGACAATGGTTAGTAAAATTTTAATCTTTTTTTCCTGGTTCTTTTAGATATTTTCCTAATTGTTTTAATGACCTACATGTACAATTGTTTTAAAAACAAAACTTTGCCAAACTTAATTTTACTAAGGTCTTTCCTATATGGAAGGTAAAATTTAAGTTTGAGCTTTTCACTACAATGCTACTGTATTTTTGCATTTGAATTTTTCTCCCAAATATCATATTTTACCAATAACTGCTTGGATCCATTTATCATATGGATAATATAGATGGGCTTACTTTTACCTCCTAGTAAAGAAAGAGTAGAGGGAAAGAAAATTTCTACACCTGTGAGGTTTTTTGTCAGTCTGCTTACTTTCATTAGACAGAAAGCTGGTGTTACACAATAACTAGTCATCTTAGATGGACTATAAATTTTATCTGCCTTTTATGCTGGGATCAGCTGCATGTAGAAAGTCCTGTTAAAGCAGATATTTAAGTAGTAATCTGACTACATAGAAAATATATTTAAAAATCTGTAACTTTACATACATTTTCAAAATTAAAACTCACGTATATGTATAAATAGAAAATTACATACTTTCTGTCAGAACTTGAGTTTGATCTTTGAACATCTTGGCAAGGGATCAAGTCTCAAACATTGAAAGACAGAATACATAATTACTTTTTTTCTTTAGTAGAAATGCAGATTGGTTGTATAAGACCCCATTAAGCAAGGAAAAACAATGTGCTTTTGTGTATATACTACTTTATAAGATGAAATGAAGCCTATAAATAAGATACAAATAGAAAACTTCCCTATTTTTTTTCTTTCTTTCTGTATGTTTACATATATATATATTTATTTATTTATATCCATTTCATCTTTATATAGAAGCAAAATCTTGTCTTTGGTACTATTTTCTGCAGTTCAGAAAGAAACCTGTAAAACTCCCAGAATACTGGAAGAAGGACAGTTGCCTCATCTGTCTGTAGGAGCTTTCAGCAACAGATTATAGTCCTTAGTCCTTGCCCTTAGTCAACAGATAACAGGCAAATAGAGTTCTGCTAATCTGAGTTAATAAGAGAGGAGGTTTGCTGCAGGGCAGCAGTTCCCCTGATTGTGTCTTAAATCCAGGTGGGTAAAAATCCACCTAAAGTTCAGAATTGGTAAGTACATTCTGAATACTCTGGTTTAGGTGTACAACTTCAAATACTTCACATCTAATTCAGGGAAAGGCCAAACACCCTTGCCCTGAGCTGTTCATGTTCTATGAGTTACTGTGGAAGGGGTCCCTTGCTTGAAATGTTGCTGTAGAGGCATTTGTATACTGTTGCACTTTTGTCTGAAGTTTTAGAAGTTTAAGTCCTAGACTCTGAAAAGATAACTTGTATACTAGCTACTATGATGGTCCTCAAACTGATGTAGGATCCCATTTAAACAAGGTATTTTTATTTGATTGTAGGGGCTAGTATTTATTGGGAAACTGATAAATGTTTTGTAAGATAGTATATTAATACTTTTCTTTAGAAGCTGAGATATGATGCATAAATAAGAGAAAAATCTTGTTGTTACAGCTCTTCACACAATTAAATACCATTTGAAGTATTCTATACAGACTTAAGCCAATTATACATGATAAACAACTTCAGTCATTTAAAGACCATAGCTATGAAGCTGTATTAGAAAGAGGTTTATCTACTTACACAGTCAAGTTAAAGTGATTAATGCAAGCATATTCATTCCAAACTCTTTCCACTGTATAATTGAGTTATTGACTCCTTACAATGAGTGTGAACACTAATATTTTGTAGCATGAGCATCAATAATTATTATTATAAAATTTGAAAGGTTACTCTCATCCTACTTCTACTTAAGCATTCCAATTTAAAAATAATTGGCAGAAGACAGTTCTTATTTCCCTTCTGTGTATGTTATGCTAAAAAAAATTAATATCAGTAGTATCGCCTCAGATCAAAGAACTTGATGACAACCAGTACATTACTTCTCAACTATTTGTACTTTGGGTAAAGTGAGTTAGGGTTTGAACATACACAGCTTTTGTAGGAATTCACTTGCTTTCACACTGACTATTCTTGACTCCCATTCTTGTGGACATAATTATGAAAGTGTCCAATTAACTGCTTATTTTAGTTATTAATTTTAAAAATATTAGCTGTATTGTTGCTAACCTGTAGCTTTGGTTATTGGTTGTAGAGCAGCTTGTTGTGGGATCCTCTAGACGGCCAGTTGGATCATGGGAAAAGGATTACGATTGCTTTGTCCTTCCCCTTCTTGAAGACAAGCAACCATGTTATATATTATACAGATTAGATTCTCAGAATGCTCAAGGATATGAATGGATCTTCATTGCATGGTCACCTGATCATTCTCCTGTAAGTAGTAGGCATCAGAGGCTTCATGTTGTTGATGATTTTTCAACAGTGCCATTTGATCTGAATCCTAGATATGAAGCAAAAGGATTAAAGGAATGAAGCATTTCCCAACCTTGCCCCTACATTTCCCCAAGAAAAGTGGGAAAATGTTTCTTGAAGCTGATTGAAGAGCAAATCAGTAGGTCTACATGGAGTGCATGTGATCCAATGTGTTTTTAGCCTGACTAGAGGACTCAGTACAATTTTTTTGCCCTGTCTGTCTTACTGTCAGTATTTCATAAAAATTCATGGAAGGATATAGGACAGAAATCTTAATGGGTGTTATCACAGAGAGAAGGATTATAGTGTGAGCTCAAGCTGTTTATTCTGTTTGGCTTGCTGGCTGCCCAGCTGGCACTTGTGGATCTGTGGCATGCCACAAATACACTGCTTCTTAGTTGGTAGTTCAAGAGCATGGGAGGGAACTGAGAGGAACTCCTTAGAGTTGAGGATTTCTAGGAGAAACTATGATACTGTGTACAGGTTCTGGGAATGTGAAAACTAGAAAGTAAAAATTCCAAAATTCCTACTGCTTTCACTAGTAGTTAGGAAATAGTAAGACACTGAAAGTTGAAGTGCATAGAAAAGATTGTTGAAAAGGTGAAGTATTACGGAAAGGATGTCATGATGGTGAAATAAGGTGGGAAGATGGGACTGTTGAGAGAGGAATGGCCAGTCTCTTCGCGAACGAAGAACCGGGGAAGGTCTTTCCACCTTCCAGCCTGCGCATTGGATTTTTTAGGTGAGACACAGTGTGCGCGGAACTGAGCCCACCCTTTAATCCTGAGGTTCATCTGCCGGGGCCAAGCACGCTTGGACAGTGGCAGCGAGGTCCTCAGGACGTAGATGGATTGC